GTTCAGATAATGAAATTAAAAATTTTATCTTGATTATAATAGTATTCTCATTTTTATGAAAAAGTGGCAAGGACATTATTATCAAAGTATTTTGAGAATTAGGACTAACATCTAGAGCGGATCCTAATTAGTCCCTTGACTTATGCTGGGTAATAATGCTTGAATTTAATCCAGTTAAAATTTTAGTGTCATTTAATTTATTTCTAATACAATGCATGTTGATCTACTCAATTAAATGCATAAATAGAATATAAAGAAATTTTTAAAAAGGCTTAAAAATCTTTTTTTTAGAGATTATATAATATCCCCTTGACAGATCTACACCCTCAAAAGTTAGGTGTTCTAATAGAACCCGGAGGCAAGGAGGTGCCAAACAAGGAAGAGAAGTAAATATTATGCTTATACTAACTCCTAATGGTCCCGGGCTTACTTCTTAGGTCGTTAGAGTTTCTATATTAGTCTAGATATTTTATTTAAATTTAAGTAAAAAAAAAAATTTTGAGTACCCTCACAAGTCTCTAAAAATCCAAGCTAAAATAAGAATAGCATGTCAATTGCCCAAAAAAATTAGGAAAAGTAGGTAACCCTAATCCCAATCATATTATATCAAATATATCAAAAAAATTAAATTATTAATTAAATATATATAGACAAACTGCTTATATAATACAACCTAGAAATTATAAAAATTAAAAGTAGCAGTGCACCACTAACCACAAACCTTGATTCTAATCCGATGATCAACGCAAATTGACTTTGAGTGGGATACTCTTTATCTTCAATTCCTTAGCTATTTCCTCTTCGGGCTACTTGGATTCTTTATATATGGATTCCCAAATGAGAAAGAAAACCCTTCCTTTGAAGGGAAGGTTATTTTTTTCCACTTTGGGTTATGAAATGATCTAAATTTGGGCTTCCAAATATAAAAGGATCCTCCCCTGAGGGGTATCCTTTCCTCTTTGGAATCCAAATTTGGACATACATATCCTGACTCAAATGTCTATATTTCACAATTCTTAACTTTGAACAAATTGTAATAATATAAAAATAAAAATTTTAGACTCTTCTATAGGGTTATCCTAAGTATTTAAAATCAAATCAATCACAAGCCTTTTACATATTTGCATTAAAAAGTATATCACATTTGGTCACGCTCTTATTTATTTAGGAGCTAAGTAGCTAAAGCATCTATAGTAGTTATAATGATTATTAATTTAGCCACCTTTAGTTGCTCTACACGAGCCTGGTCATCTGAAGAAAACTCTGTGAGTAACCAAATCATTCCTAACCTCAGCGTATTTTATCGCCCATCATAATAAATTTATATCTTACAATTAAAGTAAATAAATACTCACATCAATGAAATTTCAATTACAACATGCAATGAAAACTCAAAAAATCTAGCACACAACAGCAAAAGTAAATACCATCCTAGCATCGACTAGAATTGGTTGTCCTAGCAAATCATTGAAATTGTTTGCCAAATGTTGTATGGATGGGGTGGATCCTAAGTTGGATAATTTCTTGAAGTTATATAATGTTCGAATTTATTAAAGGTTTAAGGGTGAATATATATTTGAGTTTAAATATTAATGAACTAAAGGTTCATTTAGATATATTTTAATGGTTAAATGGTTATACCTTTGCTGCTCATCAAGACCGTGAAATTTATTTCATCTTCAGGGCTAAGTTAATATTCTCTCGTAGGCATGGGTTACCCAGTAGTAACGAGGATTGATTAAATTTATTTAATCGGTAAAGGATTAAAGGTTGAAAAATTTTAATTCAATTGATTGATTACTAGTTTGAATGATTAAATTAGAATTTTCTGAAGTTTTAAGTGAATTATCAAATTTTTAGAATTTTTGGAATTTTAATTCAATTGATTGATTACTAGTTGAATGATTAAATTAGAATTTTCTGAAGTTTTAAGTGAATTATCAATATTTTAGAATTTTTGGAATTGTTAGAGTTATTTAATTATGTTAATTAAAGGGTTGAAAGTTGACTTTTAGAATTAAAGTAATTTTTGTAATTTTTAATATTTTTCTTAAATATTACACCTTAAGATAAGTAACTGGACTTTGAGTTTACTCAATTTAAAATTTTCTACCTTAAGTAATAATTTTTTGAATTTTGGATCTAGTTTTGAATTACAATTAATCGAAAAGTTGACTTTTTAACTTTGATTTAATTTTGGAGGTTTAACATTTTTTTAGAAAATGCTAAATTTTAATTAGAGTTGAATGGCTATAAGTTTTATTAAATTAGATTTTTCTAGAATTATTTTTGATTTTTCAAAGTTTTAATATTTTATGATTTTCTATAATTAACTAATAAATCTGATTTTTAGATTTTGATCCAAATTAGTCTCAAGCCACTTAGAATCACCCCCAAAGGTCAGGATTGACCTAAGGGGATGTTTCCATGCATTTAGGGATTTTTTTAGAATTTTTAAATATTTTTAATTAATTAAATGAATTAATTATCAATTTTCCCTAAATTAAATTATAGGTGATTTGATGGGATTTTTATTTTTCATGGGTTAAGGGTTCAATTGTGAGCAAATAGAGGCCTTATGTGAATTTTTAGGATTTAAGTTGAATTAATTATGATTTAATTATGGTTCTAGGTCAAATCTATAAAGGGATTTTAGGGGCCCTAGTCGATGAACCAAATGGATTCCATTTCAAGTGAAATTTGGATAATGAGATCACCTTATTTCAAGGTTCAATCCTCCTGAATTTGGGCCCAAGTGGAACTCTCTAAGGTGGTTAACCAAACCACCCAAGTTCCGCACTCAAATGCGCTAGGACCCACTAGTGCAACCAAACCACGCGTTTTGGCCTAGCCACAAGTCCATGTGCTAGGCCGCCCAAGCACCCTACTCCTACTCGAATAGGGCTGCAAACGAACCAAGCCGAGCCGAGTATGTGAGTGTTCATGTTTGAGTTCGTTTATCATTAGCTTGTTTAAATTCGGTTTGTATTTGATTCGAGCTTTATTATTTATGTTCATATTTGGTTCGTTTAATTTAAGGGTGTTCATGTTTGGTTCATGATTGATTCGTTTAATGTTTATCGAACTTTAAACAAACAAGCCTTAACGAGCTATGTTCGTGAACATATTTAACAAATAATTTATTAAACAAACAAACATTAAATTTGTTCATGAACATTTTAAATAAACAATCTAGTAAACATAGACAAATGTGAAATGTCTTTTGTTAAAAAAATTAAATTTATAATTAAATCAGTTTTCTATTTAAAATGAAAATATAATTAATCTTTATGAAAATATTCTTAAATGAAGCTTACATGTTGCATTTCTCTCCATTCGAGTTTTTTATCGAGCTTAGTGTCAAACTCGTTCACAAACTTCAAATGATGTTGTTCGTGAACATAAATGAACCAAAAACATTAGTGTTCAAGCTTGTTTATTTAAGGATCGAGTATTTAAAATGTTGTTCATGTTTGTTTGTCTAATTAGTTAAACGATCACAAACAAGCTTTAATCGAACCGAGCATCGAGTAGCTCTTCGAACGCTTAGCGTTCGCTTGCAGCCCTATGCTCGAAGATGTACGTATGCCTGCTATGCCGATCTTGACACTTCCGTGCCCATTAGCTCCTGCACACAAACATGTGCCCTTCCACACTCGCCCATGCAACCTCTATGCTAACTACTGCACGTTTGGCCAGCCTAAGCGCCCATGCGATTCCACTCACGTGCACGAGCGTCTGCCTACACCTTACGACTGTACCGTGTGCCTGTCGTTGTTGAACCTTGCTCCCACCTGAGTCAGGGCCTAAGATCAGGCCGAAAGGCGTAGTCGATGGACAACAGGTGAATATTCCTGTACTACCCCTTGTTGGTCCCGAGGGACGGAGGAGGCTAGGTTAGCCGAAAGATGGTTATCGGTTCAAGGACGCAAGGTGACCTTGCTTTTTCAGGGTAAGAAGGGGTAGAGGAAATGCCTCGAGCCAATGTCCGAGTACCAGGCGCTACGGCGCTGAAGTAACCCATGCCATACTCCCAGGAAAAGCTCGAACGACCTTCAACAAGAGGGTACCTGTACCCGAAACCGACACAGGTGGGTAGGTAGAGAATACCTAGGGGCGCGAGACAACTCTCTCTAAGGAACTCGGCAAAATAGCCCCGTAATTCGAGAGAAGGGGTGCCTCCTCAAAAAGGGGGTCGCAATGACCAGGCCCGTGCGACTGTTTACCAAAAACACAGGTCTCCGATACTGCACTCTAGACCCCCTACTACCAAATGAACCCAAGCTCCCGCTTCTAAAATCCATAGAGCCTTCTTGATCACCCATCAACCTCACCCGAACAACCCCGCGTAAGGATGCTCATCAATGACACCAATGGTTGTCACCTTCTCTCTTTCATGGACAAGAACGACCTTCATCCCTATCATTCACCTCAATGATGCTCTGATGCTAGTTGATAAAACTTGATGGAAGCTTGAGCTTCTTGGAAGAGAGAGAGAGAGAGAGAGAGAGGAGCCCAGATACAACAAAGTCCTTATATTTCTTGGCCTTAATGGCTTATTTGAGGGGCACTTCATACATCAAGCTATACATTATTTATAAACTAGAGATGAATGTAATGCCTTGCAAAACCACTTAAGCTAAAACTGAATCAATTCATAACAGATATTAACCTTTGTTTTGATTTAATCCATTCGTAGAGCAGATCATCTATTCAGCATTCACAACATGGTCATAACTTGCATTTTATTTATTAGCGTCACCATACCAAATCATACAATTAAAGCTTCATCAATAATTTGCATTTCATGTAAACGTTGATCCCAACAGAATCTACTTAAAATTCAAATGTAATTCAAAAACAACTCTTCTATCTGGGTTTAAATAAAAATCCAGTCTAGAATATTTCATACACCCACTGTAATCCATGTTGTGTTTTTTCTCATCCAAACATAACCTGCATTGTTCGTATAGAAGCAGAAATGAATAGAAAAAAACAGCGAAAGTCATTGCACACATCTGTTTTGCATAAAAGCTATAAAGCACAGCAACATATCAAAGGATAAATCCAATGATATGATATACCTTAGGTGTAGGGAATGTTGAAGACCCCTTTGGAGAAAAAGCTTATAAAAGTGATAGAATGTTTAATGATGGCAAACAAAGAAAAAGGCCTGAATGTCCTCAATTCTCAAACAAACAGGTTAAAAAGAGATGTAAAGAGCAGACCAGTCAAAAGATTGGAAATACAATATAGAAGTAGCAGCATTGAAATATCCCTTTAACGGTACTTGGTAAGACCAAAAGAAGCCCACAACTAAAGATAATCTCATATCCAAAATTTAAACCACAGGCTTTGTCCCTCCCCCCATTACACAACATAAATCCACAATTACCTTAACACAAAGGAAAATACACCCACCATTCCCTCCACTCCTTTTTTCCTTAATGAAGGCTTTACAGAAGGCTCAAGCATCACTCCATCCTGAATACACTGGCAGACCACTCATGGGAATTGCTGGCCATGTAGTACCAATCAGCTTGGCCGGAGTCTTAGAATAGAGCATTGACAAGCCAGCTCGATCAGGACTTCCTTCTCTTGAACTGCTTAAACTAGTTACCAACGACGAATGGTTCGAGGGATGCATGCTTCCCGGCTTAGCAGCATCATCCATACCATGAGTTAAGCTTGCAGTTTCCATACCAAAGAGCCCATGAAGCATTGGCCTTTCATTCAGCGATTCAGATACAGACACATTGTGCTGGGGGGATTGATACAGCACCATCTTCCAATCGGACCCACTGCTGCTGTTGTCTTCAGTTAAATCCAGCTCTCTGCTACTGTTCTGAATTAAGGGAATATCATTGCTGCAGCCAATAGCTACTTTGTTCTTCCTGGCAAGCTCACCTGACAGAAGAGTATTGCTTGCTATGATCTTGTCAACATCATACCTAGTAATGTCAAAGTTTGTTACAGCATTTGCACCGCGGAACTTAATCGCAGCAATGTCATATGCTTCAGCTGCTTCCTCCTGAGTACCTGACAATGCGATCATATATATTACTAGGGCCCTATGAGAAAGCGCATTTTTATTTCATTCCCAAGGTGCCAAGTTTTGTTAATTAAAAGCAGTTCTATCTGATCTTGATTCTAACTAGGATAACTTATTCGTGATGAGCTTGATAACTGTTACTCCAAGCACCTAAACAAGTTAATAACTGTACCAGCATAAATCGTGCCTAAACTTGTATGGTGGCGAATCTATGAAGAAGAAATTCGACTCAGAAAAGAAAAAACAACAAATAGTAATTTCCAATACAATGAATAATAGAACAATCGAGACGGCAGGAACAATATGAACATAATTAAATGCTTACTGAAGGTTCCAAGATAAAGATCTTTGTTTCCAGCAACTCGGCCGATTCGAGCCTGCCATCTTCCATGTTGATGATGCCTTTCAAAGTAGAAACAACAAATATATCATTGAAGTTCAAACTTACATAAACTGGGTTTATTAATGCATTAAAAAGTAAAACCTTGTAACTCCTCTGTACATAGAAGCACCTCTAGAAAATCCGCTGCTTTTCCTGTAAAAATAAAAGTTAATAATAGGAAGGAAGAAGAAATTATTTGAGAAACAGTAGTCAAGAAAGCACCATATAAATGCATAGACTTACCTTCTCAAATGGGCAACATACTCCTGTCTGGTCATGTTCTTCATCTCTTCCAGCTCTTCCTGATAATTCTCCAACTGCAGGCACAGAAATTCTATACAGGTCAAAATTCCACAAGACGTAGCAGAAAGAAAATAAACCTGGTTAATGATCATAATAGTACAGGGAAGTTGATATGAGTGGAAGGGCCCCAATATTTGAGTGCAGCCAAGTCATACGCTCTTGCAGCTTTCTCTTCCATATCATAACCTCCTAAATTATTGCATGCCAAAATTTAAACCTTTGATCCAATAAGAACGTAATAAGACTTAATAAAGGAAGAGAAAGACCTACCCAGATAAACTGTAGGCGAACATATGTTGTGATTTCATCAGGCCCAAACATTTTTATGGCAAGCAAGATATCAGAATAGTTAAAAAGCCATACACTAAAATAAGAATAGAGCAAATGTTGCTTACGATAATACTAACCTTGTCTTCCTTTTCTGGTTTGCCCTTCCTTCTTGCAGCTGTTATCCCAGAGGTGAGCTTCATACCTCCCAGTCCACCTATGCCTGATTAATGAACTGAGTTAAAATAGGCTAGAAACAAAATAAATAAATCAGAGGGATCACAGATATGCTAAAAACAATGATGCTTTCTGGAATAAAAAAACAAAAATATAAAATGAAAGCAATGGCAATGTTGACAAGCTCAAGAGGTTTCTTGTTTCTGCTCTTTTTTTCCTTCAAAATGAGCTAAGAAAAACAATAACAAAAAAACAAAAAAAAAAGCTTAAAGGAATATTTCCAGTGATAAGATGAATAAATAAAATTAAAATCACTGAATGTACAAAATGGGACCATCCATGGCGTGGAGAAGAGAATGCCAACGAGAAAACAATACAATAAATCCAAAGGAAAATAACCAGAGGGGGTGAGAGAGAAACCTAGTGACTCCTCTATATTGAGAAGTCCTCTGGCCAAAGGTATCAATGCTCTTCCTGTGAACTGGCTGCTTCTGCACTCCCTTACCTGCTATTCTCTTTTTAGAGCCATCAAGAGCCATGCAATCAGAACCTCCAACACAAGAGAGATGTTGAGGAGCTGTGACACAGCTGGACTGAGAGCCTGGGCTCATAGACAAGCTCAGGGAATGCAAATCCCCGTAACCAATTGCAGCAACAGAACCAGATCCCATTGCAGCTTCATCTCCTCCCATAAAATTTATGCCACCATTATAATGCCTGGCCACCCAGTTTTTTAAGCTTGGGAAACCATGATCAGCAATATGCTCCTCCTCCAATGGTTCTGGATACATGTCATGGCCTGTGAGCGCAGAGCACATCCCGTCCTGCAGCGGCTGGAAATATGAACTCTGCTGCCTGAAGGGTTGTTGGAGGAACTCCAAAGAGTGGTGCTGGTCTCTATTTCCCTTGGCTTCTTGGTTATGATGGTGATAATACATGCTGTCCAAGCTTAAAGCCATAGCTTCCCTTTCATTGCTCCCATACTGATGATGGGCCCCCATATTTGGACCACCACCTAAGAAATCTTCCAATTTTGGGGATGGGGAGGGCACCATTCCTGCATCATCATTCATACAGGAAACATAGTAAAAATAAGCCACTTTGTTTGGAAGCTGGAAGAGGCCAGAAGAGAAAGAAATATTGAAAGAAACACAGAAAAGGGGAAGACCGACCTTGTTGCTGAGATCTGTTAAGTGCTTCCATAATGCACAGGGAACCATCAGACTTGAGTGGCATGACAGAGAGCTCGGAGTAGATTCCTCCAGTCACTCCCTCAACACCATAGCACATCCCCGAGTTATTAAGATGGGACGGAGAAAGAAAGAAGCTGCCTGGCATTCCGTTGGATGCAGCTGCAGCAGGAGGAGCAGGTGTGGGATGCTGGCATTCGTGGTGGTGGTGGTGATGATGATGATGGCTTTGGTGATTTGGGTGGTGATGATCCTGCTGCTCTGCACAAGAAACCTCCATTTTCATTTGAGAGGATAGAGAGAAACCCAACCAGTTATTACTACCACCACTACCGCTCATGGGTTTCATCTTCCTATATGGCTCAGAAGATTTTAACCAAAAATAAATGAGAGGAAGTAAGCTCAATCATTTAGAAACGTTGGACATTCCTTCTATATTTCCTACCCAAGAAGAAAACTCATGGAGGAAGTAAACTATTATCCACATTATAAGAAGAAGAGCGTTCTTCTTAAGGGGAGCAAACAACCCTGTGCCCTCTAAACTAAACAAAAAGAATGAGAGTTCCACCAAACAAATACTGGATCAAATACCCCAGCCATCTCCCCCGGTCCATAGGGATCTGTGTTCTGAGAGAGACACATTGGTTTTGGCTTGCCTCCTCCCTACTTTCTGATAACCCCCCTGCCTCCTTTATTAGTATCCTTAAACCCTGATTATATCCTCGCCTTATACGAGGACTTTGTGAGTCGAGAGAGAGGAGAGAGTTGAGAGTAGGAAACCCCTCTCCAATTAATGGAAGGCCTGTTTCTTTTAGCTGGCAAGCCAAAACAAGACTGCTTTTTTTTCAGTCTCATGTCATGAGAGAGAGAGAGAGAGAGAGAGGAAGGAAGATAGATGGATAGATTGATGGGGAGGACAACCGTCCCAGCAGTCACTTCACAAAAACAGTAGTCTATACAAGTGCCCAGTGCTACCAAGGATCTTATTAAAGCCATATCTTTTGTTTTTCTCTTGCTGTTTGTTTCTTCAATTAAAAATCATATCAGTTCAAAATATAAAGATTTTTATACTCACAAAATAATAAATATATTCACATAAAATAAAAGATAGAAGCCAAGTGGAAGGAAGGAATGCATGGGGTATGGGTAGTTTGGCTAAAAACTTACATGCCTCATATATAATTCCCATGCTTTTTATGGCATTGATATAGTAGTCAAACAGCTGCTTCCAGACAAAAAGTGGAATGTGGGTCTCCATGATAAGCTTGATATATTCCAAGAATGATGAAGGGGAGGGCCCAAGATAAAGCTCCTCCCTCTCCTGGTTCCAGTTTGAACTACCAATATATATTTTAATATCTTCCTTCTGCTGCATGGGAAATAAATAAAGAAAACAGTTCTGCCATGAAAAGTAGTATGAAGCTTTAAAATAGAATCTCCCACAAACAAAGCATGCTTATTAGAAAAAGAATAATGGAAGTTTCTTAATCAAAATCTACCTAAGATTTAAGCTTTAATAAAGGGCCGGTTTCACTAAAGCTTTCTTGCAACTAATATTTTAACAGCTAATGATGAATGATGATTAGGAATGTGCTTAGCTTCCTCTTAATTTTTTCAATAACTGAAACAGATCAGGAAACGATGAATGGTGATAATTATTTTAGCTGCTTAAATCTAATATATATAAATTAAAGTATATATCTGAAAAACAGGAAAAAAAAAACTTTTTTTTAAAAAAAAGACAAAATTACAGATCGATAAGCGAGAGTTATTGGAGGTGGGGGATGCAGGAATCGAAGGATGCCGAGAGGTGGGCTATTGGGGGACAAAATGTAGAACGAAGAAGCCACCAACACGCATATGGACCTCTTTTATGATTATTGTAATGATGAGTGAGGGCAGCCCTACTACTACCCATAGAAGAACTTTTGCTTAGAATCATGCCAACACTAAGCTGTATGGGCCAGAGTCTTCGTCAATATTTTCCTGCTTGCCAAAATTCCAACTTAACCTCTCACTATCATCAACCCTCTTTTGGCATGCAAGTAGACAGTTTAGCTTTGTTGCTACCATTTTTGCTCCTTTCACACATTTGCCAATTTTCCTCTCACTTACTCCACAGTACTAGAAACTGGTCTACACATAAATTTACACAAACTATTTCAAGAAAATATTGCTTTTTCCCCTCCCCACAGTTAGATCTGCACACACAGATATAAACTATTCCGAATCATTGTGTTATTGAAAAAAAAAAAAAAAATAGATCTTAGTTGCACCGTATACACTTAAAAAAAAAATTAATTTAAAAAGAAACCTTATTAATTTTGAATTTAATAAAATTTCGATGTGCTGAACCGTATATATAAAATTATAATTTGTGGCCTGAAAGCTATTGCTCCTAATTAAATTATGACAATTATTTTATTATTAGTTTTAGGGCCTCAAATTTTAATAAATATTCAATTTAACAAAAAACTTAACAAAATATTAAGATATCCTGTTAGAAATTCTTACAATAATAATAATCCTAATGATTTATTAATATCTGCAAGCAATTTTATTTTTAATGCCATTAATCAAGGAGTAATGCTATAAAGAATTTTTTTATCAGTTACTGTAATTATTTTAGCATTAATTATCTCATGATAATCAACTCAATCATAATTAGTTAGCCTTATTAATAATCTTTTATCTATTTTAATACTTTGATATGCATTAACTGGTATGAATCTGATTACCCCGCCGCCGGCGATCCTCCGGCATGCTTGCATCCTCTCCTCTTTCTCCAAACATTTCCAAGCCCCATCTCGCTTCGTCTAGAAATTATTCTATGTGGATACCGAATGCAGAACGTCGTCCGGAGACCAATCAGAATGTGCCACGTTAGTGGTACCAAGCTCGGGACCGAGCAGTATCGAGTCGCAGTACTAAGCACATGGGTGACGTGGCGTATTCTGAATGGCCTCCGAATGACGTTCGGTGAATGACGTTCGGCGCCCACACCTACCCTCTTTCGCCATGCTCAACCAAACTCCATGTTGAGGTAGCAAAATGATACAGTATATATAAATGAGGTACATTTTTATTATATTGGTGTGCATATAAATTGGTTTATGGATAATTTATTGGCATGAAAAAAATCAATACAGATTTAAATTTTTTGGAGTTGAGAAATAATTTAGAGAAGACAAAAGAGGAGAAGTAGAAAGAAATCATAAGCAATTTATTTTCGAAGGTTCATAGCATATCTCAATGAACTGTAGATTTTTCTTTTGAGAAGCTTTCGTAGTACTGATAAATTTTAGCATTTATTTAATCTTTTACATTACAGCTTTTGAAATATTTTTCTCGTATTTGTCTTGAAAGAGTTAGTATTCCCTTTTGTTTTGATCATATCTCAATTATGCAATTTATTTGCTCATGGGTTGATAGTTTGGTAACATAAAGCTAAATGCACTCTTTTTCTAATAATTGTTACTATTTTAAGAGTAAAATAGTTAGAAATTGGGGTACTGCCGCAGTGCTAATCTCTATGTTTTTATGATAAAATTTGGCCCGTGGAGGCACTATAGCCCTGAAGATTAGGCTTCATGACTCTAGGCAAAATAATTTATATAAATATCAAAATCTACTTTTACAAATTCATTTCTAATTTCCTTCGTTTCATTTGGCCGAGAAAAAAGGAGAAGAGAAAGATAAGAAAGAGAGAAGTTAGATTCAAAGGTCTTAGAGTTTTCGTCCTTGATCGTTGGGAAAATCATTCATATTGAGGTAGTTATTGGTATCATATTTTAAATTTCAATTTTACAGCTTTTGTGCATGTTTTTGGTATTTTATTTAGCTAGATTTTTTGCAAACTCAGGTTTACAAAGACTAACAGAACTTCCACTATATAACTTTTAATACATTATAGATTTTTTTTGTGTTAAAATTCATTGAGGGGCTTCTACCCAAACGATTGATTAGGTGTATAGTCGTATGTAAAGCTTCTACCCAGAGATAAGGAGCATTGGAGTGAATGAGTAGACTTTGAACAGTTTCAAGAATATGATGATTTTTCCGCTCTGCCACACTGTTTTGGGCTGGAGTATATAGTCAGGTAAATTGATGTTTAATACCCCAATGTTTGCAGTAGGCATTGAATGAGTTGTTTATATACTCGCCGCCACCATCTGTGCGGATGGTTTGAATGTGAGTATTGAATTGACATTTGATAAATTTATGAAAATTAATTAACGAATATGGTCGTAACCTCAGATTTTTAAAACATTGGAAAAATCCAACAATATTTAGAGTAATCGTCGATAAACGAGACAACATGTATTATATGTAGATTGAGGAAAAGATATTCGTCTGCTCTTAGCAAGACAACATGTATTACATATAGTATTTAGGGAAGTACATATAGTAAAATCAAAACGAGCTAAATGTTGTAAGACGGTAATGGAAGGATGCCCAAGACGGTTGTACCACTGGTACGGAATGATTTAAGTGGAAAGCTGAGCGAGATGTGGAGAGAACTTTGTACATACCATTATGGCAAGTCCCTTGAAGAAGAAGGCGATGAGTCTTAGAATCCTTGATTTAATATCCATGAGACGAAAAAGAAACAACTCAGTCATTATCGGTGATTAGCTGATGAACGGAGAAAAGATTAAATGAAAGATTGGGAACGTGATGAAGTTTGTTAAGATAAAGATTACCTGTGGGAGTTGGCAGAAGTCCTTTACATGTATTTTGAATCAGAAAATGGTAACCGTTGCCAAGAATCACTTGAGAAGAATCTGTGTATGGTTCAGTTGTACTCAGCTGAGATGGGTCTTGTCATGCCCCAAGATCTAACTTGGAAAGAATGTCAATCTATTTCATCAACCATTTACCAGAGCTATCTAAAACCTTCAATTAAACAGTCTACCAAACATCTATAAAATTTAAAACATCAATATACAAGTCGATTCATATCTCAAAAGGTCATGTACAATACTCAGGAACTACACTACAATCACCAGTACTGAAATCTATCCTGAGTACAAAAGAATCAAAATCATCAAAAGACAAAAACCTGTAGATCCGGATCAATTCCTATCTTCTGCTCCCTTGCCCTGACCTGAAAATATCAACCACATATAATAAGCTTTACAAAGCCCAGCAGGTCACCTAATACCTATAACTGAGATCAAAGCACGGCTATGCTATCAATATGCATGTCAGTCAATCAAATCATATCAGTCAATGGTCAATGAATCTATACAATACGGAAATTCATAGTCAATAAAACCAGTCAATGCAGCAGCAGGCAAATCAATAAACCAAGCTCAATCAATCCACGTCAATCTCGAAGAAATTCGTACACAGAAGAAAATCAATCAATCCGTCAAATCAGTCAATCCATCCGTCAAATCAATCCGTCAAATCAATCAATCAAATCAAATCAAATCTATACTATTAAGTCGATAAAATCAATCGGAAAAGCAATACGATAAATCTCAATCTATCATATCAATAAATCAATTGTAGCAATCAATACAATGCAGAATCAATAGTATCAATGAGTCTATACAAAATCTATATCCATTCTATCCATATCAATGTCAATAATCAATAATCAATATTATCCATGCTCAATGATCAATCAATGAAATCTATAAATCCGTACGAAACATTAAATCCGATTAAAACAATAAAGCAGAGATCAATAAAACAATAAATTCGTATATCAATACAGTAAACATGCATTTCAATACAATAATACTGAACAAGTACAACCAACTGGCTATGTTGGTGTTGTAGAATCCATATTACTGTTGTAGATATCCATACGTTGGTTTCAATAAAAAGAGTCGTCACTCTATTGCCCGTCGGCCGCCCGTCGTCCATATCAAAAAATCAATTGTAGCAATCAATTACAATGCAGAATCAATAGTACAATGAGAGTCTATATCAAAATCTATATCCGATTCTATCCATATCAATTGTCAATAATCAATAATCAATTATTATCCATGCCAATGATCAATCAATGGAAAATCAATGAATTCCGTACGATACAGTAAATCCATAAATCGATCAAATCAATTAAAGCAGATTAATCGATAAAACAATAAAAATCCGTACGTCAATACAGTAAACGATGCATTTCAATACAATAATACTGAACAAGATACATCAACTGGCCATATTGTTGCTGTTGTAGAATCCATATTGCTGTTTGTAGAAATACATACGTTGGTTTCAATAAAAAGAGTCGTCACTCTATTGCCCGTCGGCCGCCCGTCGGCATATCTATAAACCCCTTATGACTCCCAATCGTTATATCAATACTCAATGGTTTAAAGGAAAGCCCGTCCGCCCACCATCCTGTACAGGTCAATTCAATCTCCAACCAACGTCAACCAGGTTCTACTTGTTTTCCCAGTATCAATAGTCAATTCAATAATCAATTCATGAATCAATCAATAATCAATTCAATAATCCATATAAAGAATCTAGAACAATCATATCAATAGTCAATGCACATATCAATTCAATCTATCATTTCAGAAAAATTAGAAATCGTACGAAAATCGGGCAGAGTAACGGCAGTCTATCAAATTTACACAAAAATCTGCAAAAAAAAGCACAATTCCAAATTTCTCCAAATTACAGTAGAATATTCACGACATCAATACAAGACTAATTGTTCTATAGAATCCAAATCAAATCACGTCCGTATATTTTTCTATTCAATTTAAAATCGCGGAGAATCAATTTCGACCGGTAAAATCGTCGCAGAAAATACTCAAATCTGTGTACAATAGTCATATCTAATAACATACCAAAAGTTGTGCGGTGAAAGTTGTGTCAAATCAAAAATCATGTCCAAAATTCGACTACACAAAAACCAACAAAAACAGTGCACAACTCGGTCAAAACTCAATATACGGAAACAGAAATAGGATTCGGAGTCCTTACCACGAGATCTTCACTTTCCCAACAGCTTGCGTCGGGCGAAAAGCGCTCCGCGGCCTCCGAAACCCAGCTTTTACTTTACTTTTCCTCTCTTTCTCTCTCTTCAAAAATATCTGATTTAAAAAAAAAAGAGAATTTCTCCTCCCTCAAAAAATGAGCTGATTTTCTTATATATTAAGGCTGATTGGCCCGGCCGATCGCAAAATCGTCCTGGACGATCAGACCAAAATCAATCGGCCTGGACGGTTCCCAGAACTATTCTCAGGACCGATATTTTGAACAGTACAGATCGCCTGGACGATCTCAATTCGTCCCGGACGATCCTGGGAGGAAAATCCAAGTCAGAGAGGAACAGTAAGGGAACGAGGTCTCACAACCCTCCCCCCCTTAGAAGAATATCGTCCCTGACATTTCCCTACAGGTACGAGACAAAGAACAACGCAAAAACAAATCGATTCCAATCCTAAAACAAATCAAAATCGTGAATCCATACAAAAACACAATGCAATCAATCAAATGATCAATTGCATGATTCAATGTCAATGTCAATGCGTTTAGTCAAATCAATGCTTACCAGGATAAATTTCTGTGTGTTGCCTGGACTGCATGATGCGTAGACTATAAAACACGTGGCACCACTTGGAGGAAGTGCAGGAGGTCGTGGCGCAACTGTCTCTCTTTGATCTCTAACAGCTCTATCATCCATCCGGTTCCCTGATCTCTCACTGTAAGGCCCTCGAGCCAAACAGTCCTTCTGTTGTCCTTACCCGGCCAAAATCAGTCCTTCCACCCTCCTTATCTGAGCGACAATCTGCTGCTCTGTGCCCTTGCTGTCCACAGTGAAAAGCAACTGTCCCGTCAACAGGGTAGCACCGACCTGCATTGTCGTCTACCACAGTGAATGCCACGCTCCAGAACTTACCAGACGATTACTACCGATGCAGATAACGCGTACAAAGATCTCAATGCAGATCCCTCGAACTATCGATCTGCTGTTTCTTCTCTCTATCTCTGTCTCTACCATAATCATCTCGTCGTACCTCATCCTCTCCTCCTCCTGTATCTCGCTACCTCGATACCGGTGTCGCCAAGTCAATCTCTATCAATCGGGCCCGCTCCACCAGCTCAGAAAAACTCATGTATCCAGAAAGGTACTAGTGGATGCCTCAGCTCTCTGTTCAATCCATGCAGAATCTATAGCACTTTTCTTCGGCAGTAGGAATCAGATGAGCAGCATACCTTCGCAAGTGCAGTAAAAACTCGGCCTCGTACTTGCATCACTGAACTTTGCGGCCTTGCTCCAATCTCATGAAAGCTTCATGGCATCTGTCGCTTGCAGGCTGACGGTTCGTACAAACCCACATCCTGAACACTGACAGTGAACTCGTTCCAGGATGACTCAGCATTGGTCTTCCCATGGAATTTCCTCTCTCTGCTGTCCGATCCACCATCTCTCCGCCTCACCCTCAACAACAGTGAATACAGCCAATGGTAACCTTTTCGATTTCCCGGACACTGCATCTGTCAAAAAATCTTTTCCACTTCTCAGGAATCCAATCCTCAGCAGCCTGGGGTCCCACAGCTCCTTTAAACCAACGGAGGCTTCAGCTTATGAAACCATCTGGCAATGTGGTCTATCCCATTTCTTCCCTCTTTGCTTACCACTCATGTTTGCTCGAGCATCCCCCAATTACATTATGCAATTGCCAGTAGCCAACTGCATCATACTCTCGAAAGGTACTGGGCTGCGTTGTGTTGCCTCATTCGGTACAACATAGATTCTGCCGGAGGATCCATATCTTTTCACCTGCACACATTCAGAACAAATGAATACCCACACATGCAATGATGTTATTCCACTGATGCTCTTAAAAGCTACCCAATCTACCCAACTTTCTCATACCAATCCTACAACTCTGATAAAACAATCCATTTCTTCCAATAACACTGCTCTGATACCAAAAAAGTCTTGTCCGCCCAAAGATTTTAAACTTGGGAAACAGAATTGTCCAATCCTATTTCATCAACCATTTACCAAAGCTATCTAAAAACCTTCAAATTAAAACAGTCTATCAAACATCTATTAAAATTTTAAAAACTGCAATATACAAGTCGATTTCATATTCTCAAAAAGCATGTGCAATACTCAGGAAACTACACTTAACAATCAACCAGTACTGAAATCTATCCTTGAGTACAAAGAATCAAAAATCATCAAAAGGCAAAAAACCTGTAGATCCGGATCAATTTCCTATCTTCTGCTCCCTTTCCCTGAACCCTGAAATATCAACCACAATAATGAGCTTAACAAAGCCCAGCAGGTCACCTAATACCTATTAACTGAGATCGAAGCACGGCATGCTATCAATATGCATGTCAGTCAATCAAATCATATCAGTCAATGCGTCAATGAAATTCTATGTAAAACGGAAAATCCATAGTCAATAAAAACCAGTTCAAGCAGCAGCAGGCAAATCAATAAACCAAGCTCAATCAATCCACGTCAATCCTCGAAGAAAATCCGTACACAGAGAAAATCAATCTGTCAAAATTCAAGTTAAATCCGTCCGTCAAATCAAATCCGTCAAAAATCAATCAATCAATCCTATATTATTAAGTCGATAAAAATCAATCGGAAAAGCAATACGATAAATCTCAATCTATCCTATCAATA